GTTATTGATAAAACCCTTTAGGAACTTGCATTATTTGGTGGGCCGGGCTGGATTAGAACCCGCCACCTTAGGTGTATGTGGCTGGCGCCTTAGCCGCTTGAGCTACAGGCGCCGAGCCGAGACAATTTTAATAACTGGGCATAATCCGTCATGGGGATCCTGGAAGTCATGCTATATAGTTGTTACAAAATATATTCGGTCTGAGAGCTGAGGCTTTTAACCCCAATGACTCCAGCACTCTTCTGATATGGCTCTCCTTACATCTGAGCTGACTGCTGGTGGCTGTACCTATAATGCTAGCTGAGGAGGAATGTGTGGTGCTGGCCTGCTAGCAAGTTGTGTGAATAGGTGATGCCAATTCAGTCTTGTCAGTCTAAATGAAGAAGGCCCCCTCGTGTGCATTGCAGGGCTAACTTTCACTGTTAACCTTCATTTCACTTTTTTTTTGAGACATGCTCTAGTTCTGTTGCCCTAGCTAAAGTACTATGGCGTCATAGCTCACTGCAACATCCAACACCTGGGTTCAAGTGATCTTCCTGCCTCAGCTTCCTGAGTAGCTGGGACTATAGGTGTGCACTATGACTCCTGGCTAATTTTTCTATTTTTTATGGAGATAGGGGTCTCACTCTTGTTCAAGCTGGTCTTGAACTCCTGAGCTCAAGTGAGCCTCCTGCCTTGGCCTTCCAGAGTGCTAGGATTATAGGCATGGGTTACCATGCCTGGCCTCACTTTTGATTGAAAGTTCTTTTGATATAATTGTATTCACATGGAATTGTAAGAAATAATATAGTATATTTTATCCTCAGTGGTGACATTTTGCCAAGCTATAGTAATACTATCACAACTAGGATATTGACATTAATAGACTCCGCTGATCTTAGATTTCCTGTTTTACTTGTATTCATGTGTGTGTACGTTTTTTTTTTTCTTTTTTGAGACAGAGCCTCAAGCTATCTCCCTAGGTAGAGTGCCTTGGCGTCACAGCTCACAGCAACCTCCAACTCCTGGGCTTAAGTGATTCTCTTGCCTCAGCCTCCCAAATAGCTGGGACTATAGGCGCCTACCACAAC